TGCATATTGTAGCACTTTGGCAAGTCTTTTTACTGAGATGTTTTATGTCTTATCACCAGTAAAGGTTATTACAAATGTTTGTATTCGTTTTACATGTTCATGTTCAACATTGTCCTCAGTATAGATGGTGTTTATATTTGTGGAGGTGGAGGCATATTAGTTTCTTCATCATGGTCAAGATTAATACTTATATTAGTATTAGTTTCATGTCTAGGAGTCTCATATATATGTATGTTATTACTGCAAGTGGTCACAGACAGTTGACAATAAATGCCTCTCAATAGCTCACAAAGTTAAAGCATGTAAACTTGTAATGCATAACTAATAATAAAATCTAGAAGAAAAGGTATATATTATAATTGTTTGAACAAAGTATTTGTCAATTAAGACTTGCTAAATTGTTCTTCAATTTGATCTAGGTGAGTGATGAAAGGTTGACAAGAATTGATGACTCCCTTCTCAGTGCTAACATAACATTTTTATGACCTCTTCATCCTCATATAAAGGTCCATCCATGGACCACTATTGCCACTAGCCCTTACCAGTTGAGCCATTAGTAAGATTTAGCATATTGCTGTGAAGGGACAGAAGCATAAGATAACTTCTAAATGTACAGGCAAGGAATGAAGAAACAAAAGCATAGAGTAATTTCTAAATGTTCAACCATTGAGTGAAGAAACAAAAACACAAAGTGATATTATAATAGTCTTGGAGCTTCTAACATTTTATCACTAAGATTAACATGCAAAATGGAGCTAAATAAATTTGGCATATATTGGTGATATAAGTATTACATCAGTTAGCATGGTATGGAGTTTAGGCTTAAACCTAAGCTAAATGTAAAATAAAAATAGATACACTCAATGAAAAATTAAACAATATCTCAAGTTTGTTAGTCATGCCCAATCTACCCACTATCCTTACCATACATTTGGACATGAACATGTTAAAACTAATACAAATATAAATATTTCTTGCCCTAAGTACTACAACCTCCACCATCATTTTTCCAAGTTTTATACCTGTCCACATGCACTAGCATATATTGCAACACTAAATGCTTCTTCCTTACCTAAACTTAAAACTCACTTTGATCAGATTGCAAATCATATTCAAGTTGGATAAAGAGACAAGCTGATGGAGACAAGCTGATGGCATTGATATCAGATACTAATAATGAATAAAACAGGAAGTTGACAAAGTCCAAAAGTCTATGTTCAAATTGCATTTGTACTGCATATCTGTAGTGTGGTTTAGAGTTCAATTTCTATTTCTAAAAGTTATTTTACCAGTCTCCATAACCTTTCATTCCATTTCTACTAATTGTCTCAATAGCACATGTTTCTTCCAGTGGTGTTGTAGTAGCTCTTTGACAACAGCTTGATTTATCCATAGGCACTTCATCTGACCTTTGTGTCTAAATACTTCCTACTCACAAGCAGGGTTTCCATGACAAATAGTCTATAGTGAAATTCTGAAGTAGCTTGCCACGGGATTGTTACCATTGATTGTCCAAATGACAGTGACCTATTGCCCAGCCCATTGGATGATGTCTGCTTCATTTCATAACAGGACATATCAACTCGTTCAGTGTCATGCAATATTCTTGGGTGTTAAGCATTCACAGTTTAAATGTCCATTGGAAATTACTGTATATTCTTATTAAATTCATTGCGAAGTCCTTCAGGTAAAGAGTTCGATTCCGTTCCAGTCCCTGGCTTGAAATAGAATGTCTGCAGGAGTTTTCATATATCATTGCGTGGGGTTCTGTTGCGCTTGCCGGAATCGCTAGATCGATCGATACATAGATCATGGAGCGCGGTTCTAATGGCAGGGCTCAGCGCAGAATTGCGAGGATTGGCAAACAGCTGGAGGCATCAGAAGAAAAGAATGCCGACCAAGGTATGGGAAGTTTTCGCTTGCCCGATTGACGCTTGGCGCGCAGGATTGATGATCGCGGAGACCATGAGCGTTGGATTGCCTGCGCTGGATTTATCGCGGGCATTCCCCCAGGCCACTCCAGCATCCAGCTTCCCTCCTTTAGGTCTGTGAGTAGATTTTTTCGTTCTTTCTTTTGTGCATTGGAGCAGCTAAAATTCTTTCCAGTCTCTGATTACTTCCAGCTCCATGACCTCCTCTCCAAGGAGGATCAAGATCTGCGGATGAGGGTGAGAACCGTCATGGAGAAAGAAGTCGCACCGATCATGGCCGAGGTTACTTCTTTCCTTGAAAACTGGAGCTTTTGTTCATCGTTTCTTTGTGTTTCTTGTGTTACTTTCAGTACTGGGAGAAAGCGGAGTTTCCTTTCGAAATCGTTCCCAAGATGGCGAGTCTCAAAATCGCTGGAGGTACAATCCAGGTTCGCGATGCTTAAAAAAAAAAAAGACACAAGAGATAATCAACGATAGACAAATCTCGAACGCAGGGATATGGCTGTCCGGGATTGTCTATACTGGGAAGTGCTATCGCTGCTGCCGAAGTTGCAAGGGTCGATGCAAGCTGCTCTACATTTATTCTTGTTCATTCCTCATTGGCAATGCTAACTATCGGTACGGTGTTCTTCTTCTTTGTGCTTATGCAAACTTTATATTTTTGGTTTTCGTAGCAATGTGTGGAAGCGAGCAACAAAAGCAAAAGTATCTCCCCCAGCTCGCCAAGCTCGACACCATCGCTTGCTGGGTAATAGCACTGCGTCTTTGATTGAATTTGGCGTGAGAGTTTTTTACAAATGGTGCAGGCATTGACAGAGCCCGATTACGGTAGTGATGCGAGCTCTCTGAGCACTACCGCAACAAAGGTTCACGACATAATGTTTGTTTTAAGAATTAATATTGGTGTATGTTATCTCAGGCTAAGGGAGGCTGGGTACTAAATGGTCAGAAGAGATGGATTGGAAACAGTACATTTGCAGATGTTGCTGTCATTTTTGCACGGAATACGGAGACGAATCAGATCAACGGGTACAAAAATCGCTCTTGTTTTTTAGCACCATAACACGTTGTTTATACAGTTTCATTGTAAGAAAGGGAACCCCAGGCTATCGTGCAACAAAGATCGAGAACAAAATCGGGCTGAGGATCGTCCAAAACGGGGACATTGTTCTCAAGGACGCGTTCATCCCGGACGACGATCGTCTCCCCGGCATAAACTCGTTCGCGGACACAAATAAGGTGACACAGAATTTCTCGAAAGACAAAGATGTTTTTAATGCTGATCGTTCCACTCAAAAGGTTCTTGCAATCTCCCGGATCATGGTAGCATGGCAACCAATCGGCGTGACAATGGGAGTCTACGATATGTGCCACAGGTATTCTTCGTTTTCGCTTATTTGGAGTAGAGTTTTTGGCTTGTTTTTCGCCATCCAGTGATCTAACGCATTGTTCCTTATGATTCGCTTGTGCTGTGTTTTGCACTTAAAAAAGGTACTTGCTAGAGAGGAAGCAATTCGGAGCTCCACTGGCTTCTCTCCAGATAAACCAGGAGAAGCTTGTCCAGATGCTCGGGAACATCCAGGCCATGGCGCTTGTGGGATGGCGGCTGTGCAAGCTCTACGATAGCGGCAAGATGACGCCAGGCCAAGCCAGTCTTGCCAAGGTACGCGCACGTCTTTGCCTTTGAAACGTTCCTTCTTTCTGACGTTATAATGCCTTAAACAGTGTTGGAACACGAAGAGGGCGCGTGAGACTGTGGCGCTTGGACGAGAACTTCTGGGGGGCAATGGAATCTTGGTGGATTTCCTCGTTGCCAAGGTGTTCCCTCTCTCTTTTTTCTCGGCTTTACAAATTCTCTTTTGGTTGTACAGGCATTCTGTGACTTGGAACCAATCTACACGTACGAAGGGACGTACGAAGTGAACGCTCTCGTGACTGGCCGCGAAGTCACCGGCATTGCAAGCATCAGGCCGAGGAAAGCGTGATCTTGGCCAAATCTCTTCACAAAATAAAAGATTAATTATTGCTAATAAAAGGGTATAATCTGTTGCCACGCGTACGGTTTGACCTGGTTTTAGGCGCTGGCAAATTTGTGGCGGTCAACGGTCTCGTCTTTATAGCCTAAAATCCAGAGCCAGGGATTGGGGGCCAAAGGATGGCTTCTCTCTCGTTCTCTTCTCGCAGATCGTCTTGTCTCGTGTTGTTCTTGATCGTTCTATCCTTGTCTTCGGGAGCTCTAGCGCGGCGATCGCTGCGCGAGGAAGCGGAGGATGGCATCAATCACCATGGGCGATGCCCGTGCCAGCAGTACTACGAGGTGCGCAGGGGCGAGACGCTCCAGACGATGAGCGTCAAGTGCCGCGCGCCCTACATCCTGGACGACAATCCACAGATCAAAGACGAGGACGATGTCTACCCCGGATTGGTGCTGTTCATGCAGTGCGAGGATGACCTCACCTTTTGATCCAAGCCAGGAGATTCGACTGTACAGAAGTTCTTGAGAGGGAGGGGAAGAGTGAGGCACACAAGTTCGATGATTCAATTGTATCGATTTCCATTCTTGCAAACACAGAGAGAACGCTTTCTAAAACCCGGAGAGTTTCAACTGACCGAGCAACAGAATTTCTCGCTCAACTGAATTTGGCGAAAAAAACTGTGAGTAACCGCCGATCGGGCGATGGGCGATGCGCGATCATCTGCGCGGCGGTGGATCCTCGCACTGCATCATGAGCACCAGGCCCTGGAAGAGATCGGTGGCGTCCCGGATCTGGGGGTTGTCCTCGAGGATGTAGGGCGCGCTGCACTTGCGGGCGATGCTCTCCAGCGTCTCGCCCTCCTCCACCACGTAAATCTGGTTGCACGGGCACTTCTCCTCCTCGCTCCCGCCGGATTGGAGCCTCCGGAACGCATGAGCGCCAGTCACGAGTGACGAAATCCACAGGACGAGCGCCAAATTCGCGAGTGAGAGAGATGATTTTGTCATCCTTGTCATCCTTGTTGGTCAAAACACTCAAGAGCCCCTAATTTCTGGCAGACCAAGTCACCCAAGAGCCCTAATTTCTATTTTAGGGCTCTTTATAGATTTAGGGCTATGAAGCGAGCAGGCGCTCCCGACGATGCCGCCGCTGCTGCTGCCAAGCGCGGCCGCCAAGAGACGGAGGTGAGGAGGGACTGCCCCTACCTTGACACAGTGAATCGCCAGGTAAGAGAAAGACTAGGGAGCTAGAATGCGTCGCGTTTCTTGGGAGGCCTGAGAGGATAAATCTTTACTCGCAGGTTCTGGACTTTGATTTCGAGAAGTTTTGCTCGGTTTCTCTCTCGAATCTCAATGTCTACGCCTGCCTGGTGTGTGGGAAGTACTTCCAAGGCCGGGGAAGGAAGTCTCATGCGTACACGCATAGCCTGGAAGCCGGCCATCATGTGTTTATCAACTTGCACAGTGAGAAGGTCTACTGCCTTCCCGATGGCTACGAGGTGGATGATCCATCGCTGGACGACATTCGCCATGTCTTAAATCCCAGGTAAAGTTTTTCTCCTCTCTTTTCTCTCTTGAGTTTTCGTTTTCCTCGCTTTGGCGATGCTAATGTTATCCTTTTGAAAGGTTTACGGGCGCTCAAGTTTCGCAGCTCGATAAAAGCAAGCAGTGGGCGAGAGCTCTCGATGGCTCCGACTATCTACCTGGAATGGTGAGTGTCACTCGAGATGGAGTTTTAGTCTGGTTTACTGACACAGGGTTTCTGAAGCTTGTGTGTGGTGCTGTAGGTGGGGCTTAACAATATCAAGGAGACGGACTTTGTCAACGTTATAATACAGTCGCTCATGCGGGTGACTCCGCTCCGGGACTTTTTCCTGATACCAGAGAACTACAGGCATTCCAGTTCTCCTCTTGTCCATCGCTTTGGGGAGCTCACGAGGAAGATATGGCATGCCAGGAACTTCAAAGGACAGGTGTGATTTTCTTGTTCTCTTTCGTGACAAGGCTGCTGGTTCGTCTGCAGGTCAGTCCCCACGAGTTTCTTCAGGCGATCATGTCTGCCAGCAAGAAGAAGTTCCGTATAGGTGTGCAGTCTGATCCCGTGGAATTCTTCTCCTGGCTTCTGAATACGCTGCACAGCGAACTGGGTGGTACAACACTGCGCAACAGTAGCATCATCTACCAATGTTTCCAGGTGAGTGTTTTAAACAAGTGTGTCCGTCTTATGAACTGGTGAAACAGGGCGAGCTAGAAGTGTTGAAGGAATTGCAGTCCGACCCGAATAACCGAGAGATTAGCAGGCTGCCATTTCTGATGCTTGGACTCGATCTACCCCCACCTCCACTTTTTAAAGATGTCATGGAGAAAAACATCATCCCACAGGTATATGACCATGTCAATCTCTCCTGATTGCTCACGCTCATTCTTGTAGGTTCCTCTTTTCAACATCTTGAAAAAGTTCGATGGTGAAACGCCGACTGAGGTGGTGAGGCCACAGCCAGCACGAATGCGTTATCGTGTAACGAGGTTGCCGAGGTATTTGATCTTACACATGAGGCGCTTCAAGAAGAATAACTTCTTCATTGAAAAGAATCCAACACTGGGTAAATTCTTGCTTTCAATTCTTTGTAAGGCGTTTTCTCATTGTATATTTTGCAGTGAACTTCCCGGTGAAAAATCTGGAGCTGAAAGACTACATCCCACTGGGTTCCGCTGATGGCAGCAAGAAAGCCCGCTCAAAGTACGATCTCATTGCCAACACCGTCCACGATGGCAAGCCCAGGGAAGGCTCTTACCGCGTGTTTGTGCAGAGGAAATCGGAAGAAGTATGGTAAGTATTCTTGTTTTCCTTTCTCTTTCTTTTGTAGGAATCAGATTTAAAGGTTTGTTCGTCTTGCAGGTACGAGATGCAAGACCTTCACGTGACAGAAACTCTGCCGCAGATGGTTGCGCTCTCTGAGGCGTATATGCAGATCTACGAGCAGCAGCAATAACCAAGCCGATCTTGGTACGTGCTCAAGATTTAACTTTGGTTTTTTTTTATTCTTTCTTTACGTCTCCCGGTTTGATTCAACGCTCTTCGCTTTCACAGTGCATAGTAATTCCCGGTACGTGCTTGCTTCCGTTTTCTACAATAGCTTCAAATTCCTGGGCCTCATGAATGAAATCAGTTTTGCTGCTGCTATAGTGGACTGGACATGACTGAGAGTTCCCTCTTGACGTTTAGTACCTTAATACTCATATACCTTGATATCGCAATCGCTGGCCCGCTGGAGGCAATGGTAGTGATCAGCAAGGACGAGTGTCAAAATCGAATAGAATTACCACCATCGCTTTCCACGCGTTTAAGAGCACCAAGTTACAATGTCGATCAAAACCCTGTGTTTGCAGAAGTGACTGTGTGTGTTTGCGTTGCACCTAAGGTGAAAAGGAAGAACTTTACTGATGCTCACATACACCATACACACGCAAGGTTTTTCTCGTCTGGCTTTAATTTTTTCTCCTTTTTCCTGACTGTCCTCAGCGAGCAGCGGCAAGCGGCCTGCCCGAGAAATCTCGACAGGCAGGAACGAGAGCGAAGACGAAGAAGAAGAAGAAGAAGAGAAGTAAGAAACACTGTAAAGGGGCGTCTACAACCTAGAGACGGAAAAAGACCGATTGCAAGCCAGAGGATCTCCTCTTTCTCCGACTCTTGCGAAGAAGAGAAATAAAATTACTAAATGGACCAGCAGAGGTTTCAGGAGCGTACTCACAGTGGTAAGAGAATGCAATGCAGCAGTACGCACGGCCTGGAAGATGGTGACAAGCCGAGCAGCAACGCCTCTGCTCTGGAAAGAAAGAAAAAATATTAATATTTGAGCAAAGCTAAAACAACACATACCTCCATCAAAATGCCACCTTGAGAGCGAGAGGAAGCATTCACCTTGTTGCGACGCACGCAGCCATTGTCTTCCCTGCATTTCTCCGCAATTCTTTATCCCTTCCACCGCCGCTACTTCCTCTTCTTCCTCTTCTTCTTCTTCTTCTTCTTCTTCTTCTTCTTCCAGTAAAAGTGACTCCAGTGATTCTTTTGCTTGTCTCCTCGCTGATGTTGGCCGTGCATCATCATCATTTCGATCCTGCTGCTGGCCGCTGCTCGTTTGAAATGGGTCCTCCCACCTCTCTTTCGCCAGTGATCTCATCCTTGTCCAGGAAAGAGTAATGTGCAAGCTTGTTTGTCTCTACATGTCTGGCTCTTGCTGCCGCTGCTGCTGCGTCCGAAGCTATCAGTCTTTCTGTCGAAGCTTCTCTCTCGGTCTCGTAGCTCGAGCAAAGCTAGCCTTTCGGGAAAATCGCCAGGCCTCTCTAGCTTGTAGATCTCGCTTCCAGTCAATTCTTCAGCCTCCAGTAGGTGTGTAGAAGTTTTCGTGTCGGCCATGTCATGCCGGAGAAGATTGTCACTCGTTCTACTCCTGTTCTTGATCCATCTCGCCTCGGCTTTGGAAACCGGAGCGATCAACGCCACCGGAACAGCTCACAGGAGAAGGCTGTCCCGGAGGCAGGTGCTGGAGCTCCGGAAGAAGCTCAACAACATCAACAAGCCTGCGGTGCACACCATCCGGGTAACCAAACTCCTCCTCCAGATCTTTGTAGCAGCGTCTTAGAGTTGTTCTTTTCCCAGAGTCCAGACGGGGACATAATAGACTGCGTTCTCATCAGCAACCAACCGGCATTCGATCACCCGCTGCTCAAAGATCACAAACTCCAGGTGTGTTGTGCTGACTTGCGATCATGACTCGGCTTAGAATCGCTGTCTCTTGTCCGATGTGTAGAGCAAACCAGACTTCTGGCCAGACCAGGAGGATGGAGCAGCTTCAACCGAATCCAGCCCAGGCGACGACAAAGTCTCGTACCAATTGTGGCACCAAAGCGGAGAGTGCCCCGAAGGAACCGTCCCCATCCGAAGAACAACTATAGATGACATACTCCGCGTCGGTGGTTCTGTCAGCCGCTATGGTCGCAAAGCAAGGCCACCCCCCAATCCTAGAAGAATAAGACCACCCGAGCCTGCTCAAGGCAGCCATGAGGTCAGCATCTCCGCATCTTTCTTGCTGGAGTCTCAAAAATTTCTCTTTTTCGCAGCATGCTATCGCGTTCATCAACGGAGGCCAGTATTACGGTGCTCAAGCGTCCCTCAACGTATGGAAACCAGCCATCCAAGTCCCGAACGAGTTCAGCCTCTCCCAAATGTGGTTGCTTGCTGGTTCCTTCTATGGCGATCTCAATAGCATCGAAGCCGGCTGGCAAGTAAGGACCCTTTCTCGGACTTCTCTCGGAGAGTTTACTGACTGGCTCGAGTGTCTTTCAGGTGAGTCCGCTGCTTTACGGCGACAGCAACCCCCGGTTGTTCACATACTGGACGGTGAGTTTGAAATCTCCAGTTTGTTCCCGAGCTCAATATACTGTGATCGTTTCCAGAGCGATGCATATCGAACCACTGGCTGCTACAACCTGCTGTGCTCGGGCTTCATACAACTCGGGAGGAGTATTGCCATTGGTGCTACAATATCCCCCTTGTCACTGCTCAATGGTGCTCAATACGACATCCGGATCCTCATCTGGAAGGTAAAACCCATCAGTTTGAATCAAATGCAAAAGAAAAAACTCGAGCTTGTTTCTCTCTCTCCCAGGATCCCAGAACCAAAAACTGGTGGATGAGATTCGGACCAGGTATTTTACTAGGATACTGGCCAGCGGAGCTCTTCACTCATCTCGGCGATCATGCGTCCATGATCGAGTGGGGAGGGGAGATAGTTAACACAGCACCTCGAGGCCACCACACGGCTACTCAGATGGGAAGCGGACACTTTCCGTCACAGGGATTCGGGCAGGCTAGCTACTTCAGGAATCTGGGATATGTAGACGGCACAAACAAACTGAAAACGCAGGTTATGCTCCAGACTCTAGCAGAACATCCCAATTGCTACGATATCCTTAGAGCAACTAGCGGGGACTGGGGGAACTACTTCTACTACGGAGGACCCGGTCAGAATCCTCGTTGTCAACAGTAAATACGCTCGACTGGCACTCACAGATACAATGACTTTGGCATACACTGCTGGATGCTAACAACTGGAAAGTTCTTACCTTAGACAAACCATTTTTTAAGAGCCCGCTGGGAAGTGACTGCGCAAAAGAGTGATTATCAGTTCTTAAAACGCAGAGGGGAAGAATCCCGTACCTTGTAAACGCGGCAGCCGTAAAGAAGAGGATAAGTTTAAGCTTGTTTGGTGTTTCCAGGGGAGGCGATGATGATCCAAGTTGAAGCAGCAGAAGAAGAAGTATGATAAGTTCACGGCATCAAGGTCAACCGGATGCAATTAAATCGGCTGCCAAACTCGAAGTCGTTGATTGATCGCCATCGATGAGAAGACAGCCGGACTCCACACAAGGCATGATGAAGAGAGAAAGAACGTTGTTCGTTCCCAGTTTTCCCTCCTTGTCTCATCTGTAAGGTTACGTGATCGCAAAGGTATTAGTAGCCAGCTATGGTTGTCATGCATCTATGGAACACAACGAAGAACAAAAACTAAAAACTAAAGCGCTCCAAAAAAGTATGATGCTAATCTTCCTCCACCATGGAGGAAAGGAAGAACTAAAAAGCTTTCTTCCTAAACTAGCTCCAAAGTTCTCGACATTCTTCCTCCACTATAGAGGACAGGATGAAGCAAAGAAAAGTTCTAAAAGCTTTCATCTAAAACTAGCGATGCATTGGGCAACGAAAACAATCCAGTGTGATCTAAAGAAACCGAGAAAAAAAAAATTGAGCACTAACCTTTGAAAGCACTCTTGCGCGACTTGTGATGATGATGCGAGCGAGCATGTGATTGCGATCTCCGAGCAAGCCGTTCCCCTCTTTTTGCCGTGCTTTCGTTCTAAACTAAAACGCGTGCTTCAAAAGAAGGAAACAAAAGCCTGGCATGGCAGTACCTTGCGAATCGAAAACCATAAAAAAATCCAACAAGGAATGCGTTCGATCGCGATCGCCCTAGCAAGAGCCCTAAAATTCAAAAATTTATGGAGCTTCAAGAACCCTAAAATTTCAAATTTTATGGATGGAGCCACTGTCGCTTATTGGGCGGATCTCATTCGCAATGCCAACGATGCCGCGCAGCTCAAGCGCCTCCACTCCAAGATCCTCTCCGGCGCCCACTCCAGCGTCTACCTCTCGAATCTCCTCATCCAGATGTATGGCAAGGCCGGGGATTTGGCGCAGGCGCGAGCGGTGTTTGATCGCGAGGCGGGCAAGAATGTCTTCTCCTGGAACATGATGCTGGGCGCGTACGCGAGCAATGGCGAGCTGGAGGAGGCCAGCGCCATCTTCACCGCGATGCCCCAGCGCGATCGCGTCTCCTGGAACGCCATGATCGCCGCTTACGCCCGGGACGGGCATCTGGCAAAATCACGGGAGATCTTCGAGAAAATGCCGCACAAGGATCTCGTTTCCTGGAACTCGATGGTCGCGGCGTATGCCAAGGATGGATTGGCAGAGGAGGCGCGAGAGATCTTCGAGAGAATCCCCCATCGCGATGCTGTGTCTTGGAATTCGATGCTTGCTGCCTATGCCCGGAGTGGGGATTTGATCAAGGCCAGAGAGTTGTTTTCCCAGATGCCTACCAAGAACATCGTCGCGTGGAACTCGCTCTTGGGCGCTTACATGGAGGCCGGGGATGTCGCAGAGGCCGAGAGGCTCTTCCACAGCATGGAAAGCCGCGACGAGATCACAGTCACGACCATGATCCGTGGATTCGCCAGGCACGGCCTCGCCCACAAATCCATCCAAGCCTTCGAATCTATCCAGAGCCCGAGCACGGCGATCTGGAGCGCGGCGATCCAGGCGCTGATCTCAACCGGGGAGACCGCCGTCGCGAAGAACTTGCTCGAGCGAATGCCAGAGAAGAAAATCCATCTCTTCAGTTCGCTGATCGCTGGACTCTCGAGCTCCGGGGATGTGGAAGAGGCCAAGAGAGTGTTCGATCGAGCGCCACAGCTCAACGTAGCGGTGTGGAACTCGATCGTGGCGGCGTATGCCCAGAACGGGCATATCCCGGGGGCCGAGCTCGTCTTTGGTAGCATGGCCGAGCACGATCGCATTTCTTGCAACACGATCATCGCCGCGCTTGGAATCACTGCTGCCATCGAGCGCGCGCTCCAGATCTTTGATCTTATGGAAGAGCACGACATCGTCTCGTGGGCATCTCTCCTCGCAGCGTATGCCCGGAGCGGGCAGCTTGAAGAGGCGAGATCTCTCCTCGAGAGAATGCCCGAGAGGAATCTGGTAGCCTGGAACTCACTGCTCGCGGCGGAGACCTCTCTCGATCGCGTCAAGCTCTTGTTTGATTCCCTCCCGGAGTGGAGCGCAGTGTCGTGTACGATCCTCCTCGCGGCCTACGCCCGGAGTGGCCGGACAGAGGAGGCGTTGTGGGCATTCGACCAGGGAATGCCCGAGCACGATGCGATCGCATGGGCGGTGCTAGCGCACGAGATCGCTCGCCACGGCCACACCAGCGAGGCGCTCGCCATCTTCGATCGAATGCCCCGCAAGGAGCTGGTGTCGTGGGCGCCAGTGATCGAGGCCTGTGCAGGAAACGGTGATCTTCACCGATCCTGGCAGCTCTTCCTAGGCGTGCCGGAGGGATCCAAGGACCTGCTGGTGTGGACGTCGATGATCACGGCGTGCGCCGAGAGTGGCGAGCTCGACCTCGCTGTGGAGCTCGCAGCGAGAGCCCCGGAGTGCGACGCGGTGGCGTGGACGGCGCTCATCGCCGGGTTTGCGCGGCGGGGCCGCATCGATCGAGCGAGAGTCCTCTTCTCGCGGCTGCCCGAGAGCGGTGACACGGTCGCGTGGAACGTCCTCGTCCATGGCTACGCGCTCGCGGGGAGAGGGAAGAGGATGCGATCGCTGGAGCTCCTCCGCGAGATGGATCTCGAGGGAGGGAGTCCCAGCGCCGCGACGTTCACGGGGGTTCTCACTGCTTGCAGCCACGATGGGCTGCTGGATCATAGCCGCAAGTGTTTCCTCTCCATCGCCGGGGATTCCCGGGGCTTCCAGCCGACGATGGAACACTACTGCTGCATGATCGACGTGCTGGGGCGATCGAGGCAGCGCGGCCGGGCCAAGGAGCTCTCCAAGAACATGCCCTTCTGGCCCGACGAGGTGGCACTGACCGCGCTGGGCGTTAGGGCTTAACTGTCCGCTTCAGCTGAAGCGACGGTTGTGCCAGCTTGGCCTGCTGCCGCGTGGCTTCTTTTCGCTTTCGAAGGGAGCATGAAGTAAGTGTTTTCTCCTCGATTTGGATTGAGCTCTCTTTTTGTCAGCTTTGGGAGTGGCGATGCGATTCTTTGGGACGGTCCAATCCGTGGAACCACTGCTGGCGATGCGCTCTTCCGGTTCTACAACGGCTTCGCTTCCCGCAAGCAATCCGGGCAGGATCTAGGCAGCCGGCTCGATGTTCTTCGGCGCTTCGTCATGGCTGGAGGTACGATCGATTAAGTTTCTTGCAAAATGATGGAGTTCTTTGTTCATCAGAAAGACCCGCAACAGTTCCAAACCGAAGGTTGCCGCGCTACAGGCGAAGAATCGACACAGACAATCTAGCAGTTTTCCCGATAGACGGCGGGCGGAGGAAGGCATCATTTATCCTTGAGAAGATCAAGGAAGATCTCGCGGATGCGGGGCTTCCAGTACCTCCAGCAAGTATACAACTTGAAGGTTTGTATTCGTCCCAAAGTTTGATGTTATCATTGTCTAGGGGCGGTCATGGACTCGAAAGAGAAGCAACGCCTTCAAACCATCTTTGAATGGAGTGGCTTTGATGGGGTGAGTTCATTCTCTCGGTCATATAAGATTTATCCTTTCTTTCTCTCATGAGTCGCAGAAAATGGAAGATCTTGCTCCTAAAATCGCTCCCGTTCCTCGGGTTGTGAAAGGTTCCAAAGAGGAGAAAGAACATCTCATGAACACAAGTAAATCTTCCTCAAGAATCGTTTTTTCCACAGACCTTAAACTTGCTTCCCTGCAGTTGCTAGAGAAATAGGCGAGCGAGAGACGTTCCTGAAAGAGATGGAAAAGTTTGGGAGTGACAGGAAATACCGGGGACAAATCCGCTGGGAAATACAAGACGTAAGCTTCTCGCTTCTCTTCTTAAGACTACTGACAAAATCAAAATCGCATTTTTGGCTTTCAGAGGTTAAATCAGATGAAGCAACTGGATCGTCTCATCGCTGAAGACGACGCTAATCTTCTCGCCAACAGAGTCATCCAAAGAGAAAGTCGCAACTCCAAGAAAGCCATCCAATGGCGCTAGAAAAACCAAAAAGAGAACCAGCGCAAAATTTTCCAAAAACGTGAGAGCCGCACTCTTGGACTAAAACATCTTCACGATTACCTGCGTGAAAGCGAAGAACCTGTGATCCCACTCTGGGATCCAACTTTAAACCTTTACAATTCTTTTCTATAAGAAAAGCTCCAAAATGCTTGGAGCTGGAGCGGTAGCACACCGTTGCATCAGGCCACCCTGCTCCACAAATCATATCGTCATCGTCTTCACCTAGAAGATCTCCGGCCGCGTAAGTATCGGAGACGCGATCGAGTTTGCCTTCCATACATCCGGGCCAGCGGGAGATCCCTGAATCGCGTGTTATAGTTGAGCTCTGGCTTGAGGCTTACGGAGAAAAAAAGACTCTCAAAAGAGGTTTGAAACCTACGTAGCGGATACAATCTTTTTTGGTGCGGCAACCCTCTTTGGATTTTTCCAGGATGAGCACCGAAGGTAAGTGTAGCTGGGCTATGTTCGTTGTCTGATTTGCGTGTGCTTCGCTTTGAACAGTGTTGCAATCGCTTCAATCCTGGTGGCAGGATTATGTCTGGAGTTTGGAGCGTGAGGATATTGCAGCGGGCAAGGTTATCAAGATGTTCGATGCAAGGCTGGGAGCAGACAAGAGGCTTTCCGGCCTGTACGTAAGGAGGATGTACGGCCCGTTATTTGACGCGATCCTTGACAAGGCTCCATGCGCTAATGGCGATTGGCTTTGCCATCTCAACGGCAACTCTGGCGTGGGCAAGTCAGCATTCCTTTGGTACTTCATCATCAGAGCCGCTATATTGTTAAGAGATTCCGACATTGACGAGGAGCTGCACATTCTCTACGAGTCTGCCGACTTCATATGGGAGTTCAGAGGCAATACGGTCCATGTGGCAAAGCGCGACAAAGTCTCTCTGGACTCATTCATCAATGCCCCCTGGCATCTGATAAATCAAAAAGTCCCCACAGATGGTGCTCTCGGACGTGTTCTATTAGTTGCGGCTTCGCCAGCAGCGGAAAATGTCAAAGCTGCCAAGGCCGACCGGAAGAAGATTGTTATGTACATGTACCCGTGGGAGGAAGACGAGTACACAGCCTTGGTGGGGTTGTGGAAGGTTCATTACCAGAACCTCGAAGCTGAGGTGAAAACTCTCCAGGCTAGCCTGCGCGAGCTTGAGGAGTGGGCGAAGGTGACGTATCAGTTTGGGGAGTCCAGAGTGAATTTGTCAGCGGGCTGTGGAGATTTAGCTGAAGTTCCCATTTTGAACGAACGCGTACAGAAAATGCTGCGGGAAGATGTCAAGGAGCAGGGACGGCCAGCAAGAGAGTTAGCTTTTGAACTCAAGGTGCTCATCGAAACGCTCGAGAAACAGGTGCAGGCCGGCTTCCAGCGTGTGGAAGCTGCTCCAGAGTACTACAAATGGTTCGGAGGCGTTGTGCACTTGCTCTGGTCTGATTACTTCCCGAGTGTGATCCAAGAAGGATTCTTGAAGAAAGTCCAGAGGTCGTTGAACAACACCAACCTCCGACGCCTCTTGGGAAGCACGCGAGACGAATCCCGAGGGGAGGATATATCCTGGGCGCTCCTACATTTTAAACCGGCCAAGAGCTCTTCGTTCCAAGATTACTACCTCGACTTTTGCAGTGTAAAAGTCCAGGCTCAATTCACTCTGGCTCTTACGAGCATGAAACCGAAAGACCTGGAGCTCTTCATGTGGACTGCGTTACCTGAAGACGGGGTGCTTCAAGGCTTGGTTTTCCAGGAGCTTTCCACTGCTTACGTACTGCGTGGAGCTACGCTGGTTATGGTGAGTTACTGTTCGTTTCTTACATGTACTAATCCTTGTTGCTGATATGTCGATGACAAGCACCGTAAATGTCGTGAGGATCCTTCAAACCGAAAAAGTGGATTTCATGCGATGTTTGGCAGCCTTTGGAATTGATACCGCTGTTGCGATACTACGAAGGAGATCTGAAAGCTGCTCTACTGGAGGCTGGTAAGTTACTGCTGAGTGGAGTTACCATTGGTTGGCTAATTGCGAATGATGGCAGGTGCCGATGCTATCCACTATGTATGGAGGCCAGTGATCAAGAATAATGGGGCTGTGGACTACACTTTTCTTCCTAGGACGCTGGCACAACCAACTTTAGCAGCATGCCATCCAGTAGCGGCAGAAGCTCTCCAAACACATATCAGTGCTCTTCGTGCATGGAACGAGATCTACGGCGGGACCAGTAAGCCGGAGGAGTTTGTACTCTGCTTCTTCCTGGCGGAATCGACCTATGAGGAATTCGGCTTCCAGAGCTACCGCGACAAGTCCCGTAGGGTAACAAAACAAGCTGTGAAAGGTTTGTTGCATACGCTTTCATAGCTGCTCATACTTATAGGAACAAACGATGCAGGTATTCGCCAGTGCAAAGTGTTGCTGCGGCACAATGTTCCCGTTCGATGTGCGGAGGAGATGGAGATTCCCATGGGTGTCGAGATTGTGGATGACATCGAGCAGTGCAAGTTTGACGGTGAAGTGTGCAAAACTAACTTTTTTGATCCAGGGGAGGACCTCCGACGAGACAAGGAGGTGAGTATGAACAAGAAGCGGAAGTTTGCCTTCGGGTCCAGATATTCTCAGATTTTAGAGTAAAAATTATGAACCAAGCTTTCTCATTGAGTATATTCTCTTTAAATTTTAATATACTATTAGCTGTCTAATAAACAGTGGTAAGTCTATTCTCTTGCCCCTAAAATCGCTCCCGTCCCTCGAGTTGTGAAAAGGTAACATCTCTTGACCACGTGTAAATCTTCTTCTAGAATCGCTTTTTCTTCCGAGCGAGAAGCGTTCCTGAAAGAGATGGGAAAGACAGGAAAATCCGCTGGGACGTAAGCTTTTCTTTTCTCTTCACAAGACTACGGAACCAAAACTCATATTTTCGGCTTTCAGGGGTTAAATCAGATGAAGCAACTGGGTCGTCTCATCGCCGAAGACGACGCTAATCTTCTCACCAACAAAGTCATCCAATGATACGAAAGTCGCAACTCCATCCAATGGCGACGCCAAAGGACCCAAAAAGAAGTTTTTGTGTTGTGGTCCAGAGCGAAAATTTCCCAAAGATGTGAGAGTCGCGCTCTTGGACTAAAACCTCTTCACGCGCTTCTCGAGCAAGCGAAGAACCTGTGATCCCACTCCGACACTTCCGGAAGAACTTTAAACCTTTACAATTCTTCCTATTCCTTCTTATTTATCCACAAGAAAAGCTCCAAAATGCTTGGAGCTGGAGCGGTAGCATCAGGCCACCTTGCTCCACACAAATCACATCGTCATCGTCATCATCTAGAAGATCTCCACCCAAAGAAGATCGAGAAAAATCGATCGCGCCTCCGCTACTTACACCAATGCCGCGGCCGCCTCCTGGATCAAAGGCTTGGTCGCCACCAGCAGCTCCGAGGCCCGGTGCTCGTGCTCCCGCGACGACGAGCTCCCCTTGCCATCGCCAATCTCCTTGACAAACTGGACGAACCTCCTCCAGTTCTCCGGATGAAACAGCCGCTCGTTCATCCGCAAAAATGTGAAGCAACACATCGGCTCGTACGCCCGCTCCATACTCTCCTCGCCCTCCACCTCGAGCCGCGACTTCATCACGATCTGGTGATAGGCCCCCTCGTCGTAACGCGGCAGCGCGTTCTCTCCGGCCAGAGGAACACCCGCGGACTTGGCCGCCGCCACCACCTGCTTGAGCAGCCCCTCGGGACTACACTGCGCGGCCGCCGGCTGCTCCACGTCTCGCATCTCGAAGCACGTAAAGTTGAAAGTCACGCCGTGCCTTCCAAACATCCGGGCCAGTGGGAGATAGCCGTCCCTGAATCGCGTGTTGTAGTAGCCGGCCGTGAGCTCTGGCGCGTGCGAGCGAGTGCCATAGTGCCAGTGGATCCCTGCGACTTTGGCAGACAGCCGGACGGGGCTGCCTCGGAAGATGCCCTCGGCAGCCGTGAGCACCGACTCCCCGTGTTCTATCAGCTTGCCAGAGTACCACTCGAGGAAGAACCTGCCGTAGTCCGTGTTCCAGCCCCCGTCCCGCTTGAAGAAGATGCTGTCCTCGGGCCACTGGTTGTAGTGGCCGGCGTCCGAGGGAGCGCACCCCCAGTCGGGCTTGCCGATTGCTTCGGCGCTGGCTTTCAGGCTTGCAAGCATGTACTGCACGAAAAAATCCAACACTCAGAAAACAAGAAACAAACAAAAGAAGTTGGAAACTTACGTTGTCATGGCACTGAAATTCCCCTACCCCCGGAAATTTCCAAATCCCATCTCTCTCCGGATACCCAGGATATCTCAGCTCTCCAGCAGGGCCCATCCCGACTTGGATTTCCTGCGAAAGTAGCAAAAGGAAGAGTTCGTCAATCACACAATCCACCTCTGTACTTATCATCATCCCAGGCTAGATAGCTTACCACAATCACGTCTCCCAACATATCACTGAACGACTCCTTGAAGCTCCTCATAAAGTCCGAGTAAGCTTGCACCGGCGTTCTTCCTTTGAGCACCGGAAGGTGGTCGCATCCCAGAGAGAGGTACTCGAAGTTGCGGTTCCCGTAGCGGTCCGTGTAGACCATGTCCGGATTATTCTTTGCCTCCTCGACGATCCACCACGGCAGAGGGATGCTGCGGCACGCAAGACTTGACTTAGAAATCACCCAAGCAAAAAGCGGATCAAGCAGAAACATGGAAAGCAATCCAAAACAGAGCACGATGGAAAGGAAGAATGAACTTACAAGGCAGAGTCTCCAACATTTCCTCCGCATTGGTGGAAGGACATGACCGCCTGGACCTTGAGCCCGTGCTTCTTGGCCATCTCCAGGAGCTCCCGGTACCCTGACCAGTTGTAGTTGCAAGGCCCATCCTTCTCCACAATCCCCCACCACACATCCACCATCACACCCTCCACGCCCGCGCTCTTGAGCGCCTGGAAGCTCGCATTCATCGCTCTCGCGCGATTCACCTGGTTGTTCCCACTGTTGATGCTATCCAGAGGGAGCATCACGTACACCGGGACGCCACTCCTCTTACCCTTGCTCGTCGGGGTCTCTTGCGCGCTGTGCTCCTTCTCCACGGGTGGAGCGATTTTGGACGGGAATCCACTGGGGGAGGGGCTGGAAATCCCGTGCTGGAGCTCAAACGGCCGCTCCTCGAAGAAATCCGGCGCTAGAGCTGGGCCATGCGATGCTACCTGGGACGGGAAGCAAGAGATTGGCGAGGAGGAGCGATGCTGCTGGGGCTGCTGCTTCCACCATTCCTCCGCCGGGGGCGACGCCATATGGCAGATTATCGAGCGCCTGGCTAGGGTAGAGCACGATACCCTGGTCGTGGAGAAATCCGGATTCCAGACGCTGGCGCTCGTCGATGGCTCGGATTCCGGGAAGACAGCCCTGCCGCGGCCAAGGATTGAGCTGCTACTCATCAAGCCGGATGCTGCAGACGACATAGCCGCTCGATCAAGCCAAGCTTTCGATCACAAAGAGGCGCTAGCTAGAAATTTCTTACGAGATGGCGCGTGGAGCAGCGGCGCGCGCGGCGGGATCGAAAAAGAAATCACGAGAGGAAGAGAGAGAGAGAGAAAAATGGAGAGAATGCTTCCCCTCTTTCGCACCGCCGCTTGGCAAACACGATCCTTTTCTAGATGCGCGGCCACGAAAGCAACTAGAAAAAGCGTAAAAGATGGTGGAAAGAAGAGCAGCGTCCGACGCACGGCGCGGAAGGATTCCACGCGCATATTCGCGGCCTCCCGTAAAGAAACGCGAAAGAAGACAGCACGTTGGATAGTTTCAAACGGCAAAAGCGCGTATGTTTGCCCCCCCGCAAACTTGTTTTTCGAATTGTCCGGCAACAAGAAGATAAGGCGCCAAAGCATATTCTACGCACATTCCGGCGCTCCACGTCGAATGCCACATGGAAAGCGTGATGTGCCGAAATATCTATCCGGCCTTCTATCCACTCGACACGTGTTGGACCCAGCAATGGGAACAGTTGTCGCGATTTTGGCCAGGAAAAGAGCCGTACAAAAAACACGTGGCGGTATCCGGTGCCTCCAGTAACCTGGTGCCAGATACACGCCGTGCAACTGGGATCAGCGGACGTGTCACCGCGTGTCGCCTGAGGCCAATAATACTCTACATATTTATATTTAGGGTTTCAGGAAAAAGATGGTGGGCATCGACGAAATAATAGACAAGGAACGCTCATGCTGGACGAGAAAATGGACAGTCAAAAGCATGGGTCTAGAGGAAGAATATGTAAACAGTTCTAAGGAGCCAAGCGAGTTTTTAAAGTGCTACCTCTCCAAAATCAGAGAGTATAGGTATGTTATGATGATGTTTTAGAGGTATTTCGATGTTGTGTGCCCATGCAAGCAGTGGCGTTGCTCCCAGCGGCGATGCAAACCAAAAGAGAGGGGAGATCATCGCGGTTGTGTCAAGCATTTCGCGGGATTCTCACCTGAATCTTCTGGATCAAGCATTGGATGTTGTGGCAGGGGCATATGTCTGCTTCGGGTTGCTTCTGTGGTGTAGCTACTACCTCTACCTCTACAGGTGGGAGCGGCTCGCAAATGGGAGCGTGGTGAAGCTTTGCAGCGACAGCTTCTATCTGTGCAGCAATGTGGTTCCTGCAATCTGCAGCATGTTCAGGCGGACCCGAAACCCCCGCGTCAGGTTCATACATTTTGACGAGGTGGAGCTCCCCATGCACAAGAGGCGCAAGTTGAAGCCTGTAGATGGTGAGATCGCGAGGGAGTCGGATCATGACAAAGTCGTGTGGGATGATCTGTCGAAGCATTGCGATGCTGGCTTCTGTGGGGTGATCTGTGGAAGTATTCGGATGATGACTTCGTGTGGGATGATCAGTCGAAGCATTCGGATGACAAAACCGCGTGGGATGATCAGTCCAAGTTGGTGTCCTGCAATTCGTTACCTTGGTATGAACCATAAAGTGAAAGATGTAGTTCTGCTGTAAGCTCGATCACGTGTTAACAGAGCTTTGCTTTGTTTCCTGGCAGTGAGATCTTCATGGACTTTTCTGAAGATTTTCTCTCTTTCACCAACGGGTTCAAACACAACCAAAACAAGCTCGCTCTCGAAGCAAATGTCCCGCAGCAATCCTGTCCGGAAACAAAGGTGGCTCAATCAAATGGCCATGCTTGCGACGTCGCGGTCACACAAGCTTGTTCCATCCCTGCAAAGCACGCAGAAGAAACAACATTGTCAGGAACGTAGAAAACAATCGACTTTGCACCACTCGGACAATTTAGAGTTTGGATTCATGGGGCCATAAGTTCTCTGCTATCTATCAGCTCCAAAGTGCCCTCTAAAGATCACATTTCTTCTTCAGTTCTAGAGCTGGAATAGAGTAAGAACTTTTCCAACGAGTACGTAACAGTTGAAAGCCATTTTCCGCGAGCCGTTTCGTAGTGTTGTTCTCTCTCTTCATCTTCTCTTCGGTTGGTTCCAAGGAAAAGATTTCCATTCTCTCTTCATCCTGGCGGAAATGGCGAGGGAATGAGAACTGAGAATGAGAGTGTCCCCACCGTTGCACCTGGAGTAAATCGTCATACTCCCTGTCCAATTTTGTCACTTTGCTTCCGGATTTCTCCAAGCCACTGGCCCGTCCTCTTGCTTGGCCGTGAGTGGAGTTTTCTCTCTAAACGAATTTGTAATGGCTGGCTGGACTGCGTTTCGGTGCTTTGGAAAGTCGCAGCCACTCACTCTGTGCCACTGTCTTTCTGGCAGCCTTTGACACGCGATAAAACTTGCCTAGAGCATTCCTTCATACGGCCGAGCAGGAAGAACGGTCCGAAGTCGAGATGAGGTGAGTACTACTACCTTCATCAAAGTGCAAGCCATCTCAAATCAAAGCAAGAAAACTTTGGAGAGCTCAGGTTGAAGCAGGAATCTGGAACGATGCATCTCGAGGCGGCAGGAGGAGGAGAGACACCAAGGAGATCGGAGCTCCAGACGCTCCACTCGCTTATGTCCATCGACAACCAGCTCAGTATCGGGCACTTCAAGCAAGTCCCGCTCCGCGAGAAAGGGACCGGCCTCGAGTTTGAGGACATCACCTACACGGTGGTCAAGAAGCAAAAGAGCAAAGGTGGCGGAAGGATTACGCGGCAAGTCGATTTGCTCCAGCACATAACCGGCTACGCTCCGAAAGGCCATATCACTGCGGTGATGGGGCCGAGCGGCGCTGGAAAGTCGACGTTCCTGGATGCTCTGGCTGGCAGGATTGCGAGTGGAAGCCTCCAGGGAATCGTAACGCTCGACGGGAAACGAGTGAGCCCGTCACTCATCAAGCGCTGGTCCGCCTACGTGATGCAAGACGACCAGCTCTTCCCGATGCTCACCGTCTGGGAGACTCTTCGCTTCGCGGCCGACATGAGGCTCCCGGAGTCCATGTCCAAAGAGGAGAAGGACGATCGAGTGGAGAAACTTATCGTCCAGCTTGGTCTCACAGTGAGTGGAAGTTGTCCTTCGTCGTCTTGTTCTTCCTCTCAGAGCTGAACCGTTTTATCTCCCAGAGTGCTCGCAACACTTTCATCGGAGACGAGGCTCACCGCGGCGTTTCCGGTGGCGAGAGGAGACGGGTTTCTATCGGAGTCGACATCGTCCACGGACCAAACCTGCTCTTCCTCGACGAGCCAACCTCCGGCTTGGACTCCACCAGCGCTTACAGCGTCATCGAGAGGGTCCACGACATCGCCAAAGCTGGAAGCAGCGTTGTCCTTACGATCCACCAGCCTTCTTCCAGGATCCAGCACCTTCTCCACCACCTTATAATTCTTGCCAGGTACTAAAGTACTTCACTTCTCTTTGCGTTAATTGCAAGGCTTGGCGCACCAGGGGAAAGCTGATATACCAAGGAACGCCTCAGGGGCTGAACGGACACGTCACAGGCCTGGGGAGGCAGGTTCCCAAAGGCGAGAACCCGATCGAGTACCTGCTGGATATAATCCAAGAGTTCGACCATGCTACCACTGGAGTGGACCCGCTGGTAGAGTACTACCTCACAGGGATCCGGCCGGACGTTCTCGACTGCGGCCTCACTCCAAAAATCCACCTTGCCAGCACCGGGGTGACTCCACAGCAGCATGGCACCTGGAAGCCGATCAAGAGCCCGTTCCAGATCAATAGTAGCATTTGTAGCACCCCTGCTATCCACAGGCACGACCCGGAAGCTCCTGAGGTACCTATGACTCCGTCCCAGTACTTTGAAGAAGACGAGGACGACTTCGACCACTCGCTGGTGAAGCAGTCGTTCACGTCGACTGTGGCCGCGAGTCCCTGGATTGGTGTCGGAACTGCTGCTTCCTTCTACAAAGGCATGATAGAAACTGCTTTTACTCCAAAGCATATTGGCCTCCGGACTCCATCGAGACCGGGACCGGGACCCGGGCGGACTCCTATGTGGCCATCTTTTGAAACAAGCCGGTTCGCTAGAACTCCACGGCCTGGTCCAGCGTATACAGCTGCTACTGTTCCTGGTAAACGATCCGTCCCCGAGATCATTCCTGCTACTCCGATTCCAGATCGGAAGCTCTACCATGAAGAAGACTTCGATACGGACACCAACAGGAGCGGTCTGGTGGACATACCCGGCCGCAAGTTTTCAAACTCCTGGTCCAACGAAGTTCTCATTCTCATGGGCCGTAACTTTCGGCTCATCAAGAGAACACCGGAGCTCTTTCTTTCGAGGCAGATCGTCCTGACTGTGATGGGAGTGATGATGGCCACCATGTTCCTCAACCCCGGCGACAGCTTGCAAGGCGTGACAAAACTCATGTCCTTCTTCATCTTCACCGTCTGCCTCTTCTTCTTCTCGTCCAACGACGCCGTTCCAGCTTTCATCATGGAGAGGTTCATCTTCATCAGAGAGACGGCACACAACGCGTACCGCTGCTCGTCGTACGTCATGGCCGGAGTTATAACGTATCTGCCTTTCCTTGCATTCCAGGCCCTGTCGTATACGCTGATAACTTGGTGGGCCTTGGACCTCAAAGGTGGCTTCCGAGGCTTCTACTACTTCTGGCTCATCCTCTACGCCTCCCTCATCTCGACTAACTCGCTGGTCGTCTTCGTCAGTGCCCTGGTTCCAAACTATATCCTCGGCTACTCCGCTGTTATTGCCTTCACCGCCATCTTCTTCCTCACCTGCGGCTACTTTGTGAAGCGAAGCTTGATCCCCTGGGGTTGGATATGGATGCACTACATATCCGTCATCAAGTATCCATACGAGGGCCTCCTCCACAACCAGTTCGAGACCGCTGCTTGCTATAACAGCATCAACGGTACCTGTTATCTGCCAAACCAGGAAGTTCTCAAGGGGTTAGACATCAACAAGCCCAGGAACAAGTGGGATTGCCTGGCCATGCTTCTCGTCTGGGCGGTCTTCTACAGGTTTCTCTTCTACCTGGTGCTTAGATTTGCTTCCAAGAACCAGCGAACGTAGATAACAAGCGAAATCAGAGATAGACTTACTTGAAATGATTTATTTGTTGGTACTAATTCATTATTCTTCTTCAACGTCACCGGGCGCGAACTTTAGCGAGACACTGTTGACACAATGACGCTCGTCTGTCGGTGTTCTATACCCCTCGCCTTTGAAAACGTGTCCCAGGTGACCGCCACACGCCGCACAGGTTATCTCGACGCGCCGACCGTCGGCATCAGCCTGTATTTGCCACACACAAAAGCAAAAAACGTCAAAAGGAAAAAAAAAAAAAAAACAATCGAGTTGAAAGTTCCACAGAGGAGAAGAACACCAAATAAAAAACCGAGAGAACACTAGCAGAAAGCCACGACAAGAAGAATAAATGGAAGAAATTCTCGCTGTGCTTACCTTTCGATTGATCGCGCCTGGCAGGCCCTGGAAGAAGGCAGGCCAGCCGCACCCGGAATCAAACTTGGTATCCGACTTGTAGAGCGGTGTCCCACAGCCGGCGCATTCGTAGACACCCTCCTCAAAGTGCTTGTTGTAGATTCCCGTGCCAGCAAACCTAGTATGCGGTGTTGGAAAAAGACGATCCAGTTACGATCGCGTGCTTGGATAGAGGCAGACAAAATGCCCTGGCAACAAAGCACAGCGAGCAGAAAAAAAAAGGAAAAAAAACCAAAAGAAATTCCGCAAGGCTGTGGCAAGCAAGTGCTTGACCAGAGCTCGTCTCCACACAGCCACACAATCCATCTCCAGCCATAGCAGCACTAGCTACAGTCCCTCGCAGCAAGCAGCGAGCAAAATCCCAGGCAATCCAGGCAGTAAAATCCAAACTCACTCTGTGCCCTTGCGCCGTAGCACGCGGAATTGCTCCGGGCTGAGGATCGCGCGCCATTCCTCCTCGCTCTTGTTGCCGCCTCCCCCCCGCGCCATAGCCCGCACGAAAATATTTCGCCCCTGTTCTAGGGCAAATACACAACTTTAGGGCTTCTCGCTATACCGCAAGAGCCCTAAAAGGGGGGAGCCGAAGTTCTACGTAGCTAGTCTCTAGAAGAGCAATGGATCGAGCGTGGGACCAAACTGCCCGCGATCAACCCAGCACCTTACAGGCAGTCCAATTCACAGTGCCTTTCCTGTAAAAAGGGAAATTTTATTTGCAGTATTGTTCCCTGCTTTAAGTACCCGCACTCAGGCACGTCGAAATTATTTGCTTGCTCTCGAAAAATTCCTTCCTTATTCAGTCTATTTTCCTTTTGGCTGTTTTTCTACTGGTCTTTTTCTTCCGGCTGCCTTTTTTTTTTTTGGCTACCCCTTCCGTCCGTCGCTCGTCACTTCCACCCCCTATAAATTCTCCGCTTCCTCCGCTGAGAGTAACATTGCGTTTCTCTTTGCTTCCTCTCGCGCTTGGCCTTCCGAGTTCCAGCATCCTCTTCCTCTTTTTCATTCGATCCTTTTGCGCCGTTTGCTTCTCTCCTCCCGTTTCGACAATGTCTTCGTGCGATGTTTGCAACCGTTGCGGATGCGGATGCACGACCTGCGAGTAAGTTTCTCTCTTCAGTTCGTTTCCCTGCAATGCAAAAGCTTACTTTGCCCATCCTCGTGTCGTGCTTTGTATTCATTCCACAGCTGCAAGCGGAGGAATCCAACTCTCGCGGCCTTCAACTTCGCTCCCGCCGCTCCAGAGGCAACTCCTGCCATGGTTTCACCGAGGTAAGCAACTGTACCACCTCTGCTGCATTGCATTACTTACCACTTAGCTCTCTGGATCTCAGTGGAGAGGACGCCGTGCTGGTAGCAACACCAGGTGCCGAGTGCGAGACCTCCATCACCAATGCAGGGGACGCAACCACAGTTCTTCCCATGTGGGCCTGAAGCCATGGTCGCAAGTCCTTGTCCTGCAAGGAATCAGTCCTGAGTTAGATTGTGAGTTATCAACCATTAGCGACAATATCAGGATACAATAAAGAATGGAGGAAGAATAGAGCCATTCTTCTTCTTACCTTAAATGAAAAGGAACTTAGAAAATAAAACTTTGAGCTTCGTTCGCTGCAAAACAACCAAGCTTTGTCATGAATAATGCGTCGAGTTGGCTTGCTCAGAGTCATGGAAGTTTTATATGTCGAATGCCAGCATTGGTCTAGCCTCTGGTAACATGATTCTCATCACAGCAACATTTAAAAGAGCAGGGAATAGACTCAAGCAATGTCTTGTCAGAAAAGCATTACCTCTCCTCTGCTCAAACATGCTAACAGACTTGAAAGTTATAAAAGCAGCACACACAAACAGGAAACAAAAGATGGAAAAATCATTGTAATCACAGGGCAGGATGCCAAGCACGAAGTGGAAAGAGACGAATCACGAATCAAAACGGTAGTAGCGACCAGACCCGAAACACAAAATCGTGCTCGATCCATGCCAAAAAAGAGATTGCGAAAAAGAAATGAGAGGGGAGAGAACACCAGCAAAAATGCCACAGCTGTGAGACACCATGATTGAGTCCACAGACCGGCGGAGCGGTCTTCAGTCGACATGGAAAGCTGTGGCCGCTGTAGATGGGCCCAAGAGGAAAATCTGGAGTGATTCACAGACCCACCGCAGCGGCAGCAGTAGCAGCAAATCCAACACCTCGCGCGCCGTGAAGGCGTCCGGATTGCATGACTGGCATACCTCGCACGCCGTGGCCGCCGCCAGCCACACCAGATGTGCGCTGCATCCCATGCTTCGCCTTTAGGGGCGCCCTAACCCTAAACGCATCTCACCCGAATATCCCTTGCTGCCTTGGTTTAAAAGAGCATCGGGCGAATATTCGTCAGATTTAAATTTTCGAAAGCAAAGCTTATTCGCGGCAGATCTCGCGGAGGAGGGAAAGAATAGAAGAGACCGTCGCTCGCAAGCATGGATTGGTTTGTCACTGTTCGATCAATCAGTTGGTTCTCCTGCAGTTGCTCCGGATCTCGCCCTGGCTGCCGGTGAGCGGCTGCAAATTCCCCATGTTCACCATGGACACCGCGAAATTGTTGAAGAAGCTCGTCTGATCGGTGCTGAAGTTGCTGACAAGCGCCGCGGTGGTGCCGTTGAGGAGCTCGGCGTCCGAGTTGAGCAGGACCTGGCCATTGAGCACATTGGCGTAGTACTGGTTGTCGAAAGTGTCCTGGGTGACGGGGTCGAAGTTGGCCACCACGCTGCCGTTGCCCCCGTTGGGACAGATCTGCTGGAGGGTCGGCAGGTACGTTGAGTTGATCCGGGGATCGGGCTGCCCGTTGCTGAAGTTGAAGAGCCTGTTGGAGAAAGTGGTGCAGCGAGCCCGGCCGAAGGTGTGCGCGCCGGACAAGACCACCATGTCCAGCGTCGAGAGCCCCACATTCTGGTACGCCGCAATGAGCTGAGCGTTCGTGGATGTTGGCGGCGGGATGTTGGCCTGCGCGAGGGAGAAGTTTGCTGTGGTGCTGTCTCGCCTTCCCAGCTGGACCGTCCAGGATGGTCCTCCGCTCTGGGAAAAAGAAAGAAGAGAAGGTGCGGGGGTTAAGAGTTTGTGATTTCGTGAAATGGATTCGGGTTAGAGTACTGACCAGGACTACTGCCGCCTTGGCTGCGATGGCGAGGATGTCGGCACAGGAGACGGTGTTGTTGCAGACGCTGTCAACCTGCGACTTAATCTGGTCGATGACATCGAAGCCTCGGAGCGAGGCGTTGTTTGGAGCTGCCGTTTTCTCCCCTGTGAAATTCGCAGTGTCGTCCAGGAGAGATGACGCATCGCAGCCCTGCGGGGGGCAGAGGACGAGTCAGAAGGAGACAGAGGAATTCTGGACCAAAAGGAGAGAAATTAAATTCAATACTTACATTTACGAAGCAGTCGTGGAAATGCATCCGGAGAAGCGAGGCAGCAATTCGAACATCGCTCTGCATTGCCTGCTGGAGAGTATTTGTCACGACGGTCTCTACGGTGGGGCAAGACGAGTTGTAGAAAGAGGGACTGAGCTGAGCGACGGATCGCCGGAAAAGGATTGTAAGCAGCAACGTTGCAAGTACTTCGTAGCGAGCCATATTGGAACAGTCTTGAGCACTAAACTCAGCCGCTCTGCTTCCCGGCTACTCCCAAGGAGTAGAGAGTATATATACCAGACATTTTACGATGCGTCGAGGAACTTATCTCGGTATGCTGTCAACTAGTGTCAACTGCGTCGAGAGCGCTGTCTGGAATGGTTTGACGACTTTAACATTTTTTTTTGCATCCTTTCCTGCTACAAAAGAAGGTCAGTTCCTTGAATCGATGGGAAAACCAATCATTTACCCAAAAATGTGCTACCATGAAGCCGTAAAAAGAACCTGTACCAACCAATGATGCTGATGTTGCACCGAAGGGCAGTCTTCTCTTCCAAAACAATCAGGGACAGTCGCTTTTCTTTCTGACAGCCTCTACGACCATCCACCACCAAAGAAAGCTCAAGATCTACGCCTCTGATAGGAAGACCCGGTCAGTACAAATAACACAAGCGTGATACATAGCGCGTACCTGGTAGAAACTTTACGTGCCATATCCTGTAGCAGAACGTGCTGGCCATAGCCAAAGCATTGAATTAGTTGCTGAGGTAGCCTGTAAAGCGAGCATTGACTTCCTTGGCTTCAAAAGTGTTATCTTTCCTTCTTTCTGGCAGGCACAAGAGAATAGAAACATCTCCTTGCGCCTGTTACGTCCAAGCATGGCTCACATGAAGAATAGAAAACCGGGTTTTTGTACTATAGAGAAATGTCGGACCTCGATTATCAAGGAAGACGTCATTACGCTGAAAAATCCTGCCAACTCAACGAGTGTATCAGCCGCAGACACGCCTATATAAGAGCCCGCTTACCCCTCTAGTCTCTACGTACATGGACATTTGAACCGAACGCATAGCACTCGAAAATCTGAGCAGATGAAAGGTCAATTAGATAGATACCAACTCGAAGGGGTCCCGTTGAGTCGTGTCTGGTGGATGTTCACGTTCTCTGCAGTTTTGATAAACGTAAAATTGAGGACAGCGGGGCCAATACAATATTCTTCTTTTTCTTCTTCTTGTCCTGGAGAAATCAAGATCAAACACGGGAATCACAACCAGAAAGGAAGAACAAGATACAGATGTTACCAGGCATCCCGGAGCGCCCGCATCGTTTGCTAACAGAGAAACAAACCTCGTTTCGAGTGAGAACAACAATGAAAAGCACAGAGAGCCAAGCGAAAAGACCTGTTCTACCAGTGAAGATGTCACAACTTTCATTCATTCCTGTCACAGGCTTGGTTGATACACTTTGCACGAATCCTTTGAGTCAGTGCTGTGTCAAAAATTAAAGCCAAAACCTCCACCGCCGGGGAAGCCACCCTCGAATGTGAAAGTGAATCCACTTCCACTTCCACCTCCACCCCCGCCAAATGGATTAAATCCCGGACCCCCCATCTGCGGTTCCTCGTCCTCTCCCCGGTCATATCGCGTTCGTTTGTCTTCGTCCCCGAGAACCTAGAGGAGGTGCTACGTACTTAGTAAGAAAAACGAAGAAAAAAGATTGCTTACTTCATATGCTGCAGCAATATCCTGAAACTTACGCTCAGCTTCCTCCTTGTTATCTACATTTTTGTCCGGATGCCACTGCAATGCCAACTTCTTGTACGCTCTTTTTATGTCAGCAGCACTGGCAGTCGTTTCTACACCCAAAATCTCGTACCAGTTTCTCCGCTTACTGAGTTTCAAGCCTTTTTCAGCTCTGTGAAGCCCTTCTCTGGCGCTTTGGCTCTGCAAAGATGAATTCAAGGTTCCGCTTCGTTTATTTCACCTTAAGTGGTACCTGAGATTTATGAAACGATGTTTTAAAATCTGACATTGCCCCTTCCCAGTCCTCTACTAGAATTTTGGCTTCCCCACTCTGCAATCGCGGACAGTCGGATAGAGCATCGCAACCAATAATTCACAAACAAACCTGAAGCAAAGCTTCCGCATGTTCGCCATCAATTTTCAATGCCGACGAACAGGCTGGCAGAGCCTCCTTACCACGACCGAGCTTAACAAGTGTTTTGCATAGTCCTAGATACAGAACAAAGCTCTGCGTCTCATGTTCGGGATCCAGTGATAAAGCCTCATTATATTGTTCAACTGCCTTGCGAAATTTCCCTTTTTCAAAAAGATCTTCGGCCTGAAATGAAACAGCAACAATGTAAACGAAGCAGAAGAAAAGGCATGCACTCACATTCTTTGTCTTCTTTAAAAGATTTTTCAGCTTGAAATACTCCTTCTTCAAGCTGCTGTGTTCGGGATCAAGGCGCAAACCCTTCTGATAATGTCTAGAAGGCATAAACGTTAGTTCTTGCTCAACAACAAAACTAAAAGAACATACCTGGTGGCCACGTCGAAGTCCGAGAGATAGTAGTAAGCTTGCCCACGAAGAAGCAAAGCATCCAAGTCGTCTTCATTCTCCTTGAGTATAAATCCTGTCTCTCCCACAACACCTGCATAGTCTTTCTTTTTCAGGAGAATCCTTGCTCTTAAAAATCTCGCCTGCAAAGCAACAATACGCTTTTACCAAAACTCTGCCATGACATCTATACCAACCTTTGAGCAATCAGGAGAAAGCGATAAAAGAACTTCCAAGTGTTCTTCCGCTTTTGTGAAATCGTTGTTTTCATAGCTACTCTCGACTTGCTTCAGCGCGTCTTTTGCTTGAGTTACCATAGAGAGCTCCTTCTTAGCACCCGCATGCCCTGGTTTCATACCCAGCGCCTTAGAAACAACACTCTCAGCCTCATCCAACCTACATGTCGAGTCTTTGCACAAACTCTCGATAACTGACTGGAAATCTTACTCGCAAGTCTGGCGAAGAACTTGGCTTCGTTGCAAATACCCATTCACGTAGCTTGGATCGATGTCCACCAGCTTATCGAGATCACGCAACGCGTCTTTGTACCGTTTTTGCTGAATGTATGCTGCTGCTCTCTTCGAATATCCGATCGACGCATCGGGATCAATCTCTAAGAGAACACAAAACTTCAGTTGGACAAAGCCACGAAATTTCCGCTACCTATGAATGAAGTGTAGTGCCGTATAGCCGCAAAGTACTCTCGATTGGAGAACGACTCATCTCCAGATTTCAAGTAAGATCCTGAGAAGGAAGAAAAGAAATCACTGCAAGCGCGAGCTGGAGAAAAATCTTACCCGCATTGGAGGCAAAAACTCCCAGAAGATTGATTGCCGATACCAGCAGCACGATTGGCGCGAAGGAGATCATGAGCTGACGATGCCTGTCGCAAGCAATCCTCATCGCGCGGCGCCTTGAATCAACGCATATTTCTAGGCCAGAGCGGCCTTGCCCTAGAGATCAAAAATGACAATGAGGTTTCATGTTACTGGTCCACGTGTATATTGCGCTGAGGTGGCTAGACAGGATTGGAGCATATGATGTGTAACAGTATGCGATATATTTTCAAGAAAAAAAAGGGACAGAGACAGGCAGAGGATCCTTTTTTAGGGTTCTTCGCTCGCTCGCTCGCTCGCTCGCCCTCATTGCTGTAGCGAATCTTGCGATGGCGCCATCATGATCCGAAACTCCTCGAAATCCACCAGGCCATTGCCGTCCGAGTCGACGCCCTTGATCATCCTCCGGCACTCGGATTTGGTGATCTTGTCGCCCATTTTCTGGAGCACGCAGTGGAGCTCGTCCGCCGAGATGAATCCATTTCCATCGATGTCGAAGACCTGGAATGCGGCCCGGAGATCGCCGGCGGAGCTGCCGCCCTCGTCATTGGCGCGGAGGAATTCCTCCAGGCTGATGAAGCCGTCGCCGTCGGAGTCGATCGCCCTGAGCAGCCCCAGCAGCTCCGTGTCGTCGGGATTAGCATTCCCTATCAGTCTGAGCATCGCGCGGAGCTCCTCCAGGCAGATCCTTCCATCCCCGTCGGTGTCGATCGACCTGAAAACCTGTTCTAGCTCCTTGGCGCGTTGATCAATGGACCTAGCCGGCGATGGAACAGTAGCCTCGGCGGCAATGCTCGCCACTGGAGAATCCCTACCAGATTTCTTCCCCCTGAGCGATCGATAGAACTTCATCATTGCGATCTCTCTCACACTCCAAAAGCAAGAACCCTACTCCGCGTTATAAGCCTTAAAAGAAAAGGAGGCGCATAAAATTCGAAACGTTAGTTAACGCGCCAAAGAATATATCTCCCAAAATTCTAGGAAGAGTAGAATATACAGAGTATATGCTTTTGGAATATTCACAGGATTTGCGGCGCTTAATGCACGCGAAACGCGACTAGCACGGGAGGAAAGAGAAAACCAGGTCAGAGAATTCGCTTTGTTCGTTTCTTGGCTGGATCCGATTAGGGTTCTTCACATCGATGAGCGATCGTCGCTAGCGCGCGCGGCCAGGCAGCGATGAAGTGCATCAGGTTCTCCCACAGCGGCGGCGACAAGCGGCCGGAAGCCAGGAGCAGGAAATCGATCTGGAACCTCTCCTCCAGCGGCGGATCCAATCCCGATAACGCCCGGCGCTCCGGCTCCGAGGCGAATTCCCAGACGGACGCCAGCGGCAGCGGCCAAGGGTCTCCGGCCTCGAATTTCCTGCTCAGCTCCTCGATGCGCCAGAACGAGCTCAAGGTCTTTTCGTTCGCGGAGCTCAAGGCGGCGACGAGGAATTTCCACCGCACGCATTGGCTGGGCGAGGGTGGATTCGGCTGCGTCTACAAGGGATTCATCAAGGTCAACAGGACCGACGGCACCGAGTCCAAGGTAGAAGTGGCGGTGAAGCAGCTCAATGGCAAGGGATTGCAGGTACATTGCTCGATCGCCATCTCCACGTTCCTAGAATTTCTTTCTCTGTTCTTCATGGGTTTCAAAGTCATAGGCCTAGTAACTTAAGCGTGTTCTTCGTCCAGGGACACAAGGAATGGCTCTCGGAGATTAGATACTTGGGAGTCGTCGACGATCCCAACTTGGTGAAGCTCATCGGCTACTGCCTGGAAGACGATCCTCGAGGCGTTCAAATGCTACTCGTGTACGAGTTTATGCCCAAGGGGAGTCTCGAAGGCCATCTTTTCAGGAGAGGGCCCCCGGTTCTTCCGTGGGAGGCCCGAGTTAAAATCGCGCTGGGTACTGCTCGTGGACTGGCATATCTTCACGAGGAGCTACAAATCCAGGTACATGACTTGTCCAAGTCAGTGTTTTCACTCTTTTTCCTGCTCAAGCAGATTATTTATCGCGACTTCAAGACGTCAAACATTCTTTTGGATGATTCGTTTGGCCCAAAGCTATCCGATTTCGGGCTCGCAAGGCTTGGGCCCGAGGGCGGTGATAGTCACGTTACGACCGCTGTGAGTTGACATACATCGGTTCCTTTTCAACTTGCTGTTGATCTTTGATGGATGGATGAACAGGTTGTGGGAACTGTAGGCTATGCGGCTCCAGAGTACGTCCACACTGGTCACCTCACAGCCAAGAGTGACGTCTGGAGCTTTGGCGTGGTTTTGCTGGAGCTGCTCACGGGAAGGAAAGCTCTCGACAAAAATCGCCCAAAGAACGAGCAGCGGCTCTTGGAATGGGTCAAGCCTTACATTTCTACAAGCCGGAAGTTCCACCTTATCATGGACCCGAGCCTCGAAGGCCACTACCCTCTCCAAGCGGCTCAAAAGATGGCGAGCCTCGCGGCAAGCTGCCTCACGAGGCAGCCAAAGGCACGACCGAAGATGAGCGAGCTCGTGGAGGGCCTCAAGCAGGTGCTTGCGATCCCGGTTCCAGATGGCGACGGCACCGAGTGCAAGGAAAACACTCCCCAGAAGTTGGAGAAGTTTCATTCGGACCCCGGAGTGACCAGAGAGAAGCTCTCGGTGTGGAAGATGTTCACGGTGCCGAAGCTTGTGAAGACTTGAGAAGCTTGATCCAGAGTTTGGTCCACAACTTTCAGCCTTCTTCGTACAGCTTAGCGCCACGTCCGTGTAGCCTTTGACGCCTCCTGGAAAGGTTTTTGCGACGTCGTAGCTTGGTAGAGGAGCAGCGGACTTGAAGCAGATCTCGCAGCTTGTGGCTACAATCCAGGTCGGGCCGGGTATCCAGTAGCACGCGTGGACCTTCACGAAGTGACGCTGCCGTGGTTGACGTTGTCGCTTGGCACCCGGAAAGAAGTTGGATGGGATTAATGCTGTAGTCTGTGGAAGATTTGACGATTCCCAGCACTGATTTTGGACGGATAAGGTCGACAAAGTCTCTGGCCTCGGAGAAGCAGCAATGAAGCGAGTACGGGACGACGTTAATCAGCCGCGAAGAAGCGTCAGCAGCTTGGTTGTCGCTGGTTCTTTCCCGGGATTTGTAGCAGCTTTCGGAGCACAGCAGCTTTGGCTTCGGCTTTCGTCCGGAGGATGGATTGCACAGGCATAAGCAGCCGGTTGGAAGGATTCCCAGAGTCGGGCGAATCTCGTTCAAGAGCTTTAGGCTCCGGGTGGAGACGCTGCAGCGTGGAACGGCCCGGATCCGTGTGATGGAAGTGTCGGTCGTGAAAACATCCGGGAGCTGTAGCAAGTGCATTGTTTTCAACCGTTGTGGCCACACACAGATCTAGAAAGAAAAACCAGCAGAAAAGAATGTTAGCCAACTCATTCCCAGGAAAATAGAAGAAAGTATGAGTACGTACTTTCGTTTCCAAAGCTTGAGCAATGGAGAGCAAAAGCTCTTCCTTCCCAAGGTTGTCGATTCCAATCACGATATCTTTCTCCGGGTGGCCTCGTATGAGCTCAATGACCTGGAAGATCGTTTCTTTGTTTTCTCACTCAATCGATTGAGCCCGTCCACTTACTCTAGTCGCAGCGGCGTTCCTGGATGGAAAGCAGAAGAGCGGGTTGCAAAATGTGTTGTCAAGGTAGAGAAAATCCACCTGAGCTCCACCGATAGCTTCTCTGAGAGCCTCTTTCCTCTCCTCCAGCGTGCATCGATCGTTATTCCATCGAAAGTCCCCGGTATGCAAGACGCACCCAAACTCTCCATGGAACACATACATCACAGCTCCTGCATGGACAAAAACGAAGAGAATGTAACATAGAAGTTCCAAAGAAATTCAAGAGCTCTCGAAAATCTTAGGATCAAGACTTACCAGGGCAGTGATCGGCGTCGATCGCCGTGACTTCTAGCAAGGAATCTGCAGCATTGTTGGAAGAGACGAGCGTTGGAGTCCCGAGGTCGAGAATGTGGAGCAGGGCGGGATTGAAGCCCTTGAATCTGGCGAGGAGGAGCATGGCGGTTACCTGCGAGCAGTAGAGAGGGCCGCGGCACCAATCCGCAGACAGGCCCTCAGTGTGATCAGCGTGCAAATGCGTGAGGAAGTAGGCATCGCTGGGGCTCCTCCACTCGTCCACCACAAACCGCCTTCGCATTCCTCTCCGCGCCTTTAGGGCTAGGGCACAAGATTCAATGATTAACTTTCAGTTTATTTTAAAATAAAATCCTTGAAAAGTAGATGATAAAATTAGATAATTTTAAATTATAAAAATTAACTTTTTTTAGTTATTTTTTTATTCAGTTATTTCAAAATTTATAAGTTATTTAATTATATGAGTGTGGAAATAGAGTATAAATAATGTGCATATCATAATATTAATATACAACATTGTAATTGTACATTTAAACTTCATATCATCCTTGTCTTCAAAGGATGAAAAGCAATTAAGATTTTTTAGTTAATAGGTTAGAATTTAAAGGAATATCAAGAAAAGGCACTAATGAATCTATATATGGTGTTAGTTATTCTTACTCCTTTTATACAAAATGTTTTAACCATTACATATGTATAATTTTTAGAGGATCAACTTGTTAAATGTCATGCCAAATCTTATAAACTTGCAATTTAATTTGCCATAACACCCAATATAATCCCTTCCATTGAGCCTTTTAGACAAATCACATATTTTAAAATTAGGAAAATGGACTAACACCAAGTCATTTATATTATACTTTGTAAGTAAATGATGATGGGAGTTGTAATGTTATTGTTATCTCACTTATACTTAATATTGGCAGCTTGTAGCAATCATGAAAGTAAACTCAACTACATTAAATCATGACCATACATGAGTTTATATGGTGAAGTATTAATGAAACTCTATACATTTATGACATATATATACAAAAAAAATGGCAAATAACCATCTTAATTTAAATGTTAAAAGTTTATATACTTCACAATCATCTCTTTAAAAGTGGATTTTTTGAGACTTTCTTGACTTTGGTTTTAAACTGTGAGACACAAAATCCCTAGGCCTCAAAGTGGAGCCAGAAAGGGTGCCACGTGGTAGTGGCCGAAGCGAAAGCCAAACGAGCATAACACGTTTGGACTAAAAGCTCCGACTTGGAAAGTCGAGAGAGGGAGTGGAACTCCCAACAAAGGGCTCGAGGAGCAAGTACGAGGCAACCAATAAGCAAGGCTCCGATGGACCCGAGATGGACCCGAGATGGAGTCCAAGATGGAGTCCGAGATGGACCCGAGATGGAGTCCGAGATGGAGTCCGAGATGGACCTGAGATGGACCCGAGATGGAGTCTGAGATGGAGTCCGAGATGGACTCAAGATGGACCCGAGATGGACCTGAGATGGAGTCCGAGATGGAGTCCGAGAAGGACCCGAGATGGAGTCCGAGGTGGAGTTTGAGATGGAGTCCGAGATGGACCCGAGATGGAGTCCGAGATGGACCCGAGATGGAGTCCGAAGTCGAGACCGGGACCAAGACCGAGACCGGGACCGAGACCGAGACCGAGATTAGGACCGAGACCGAGACCGAGGCCGAGTCCGAGTCCGAGTCCGAGTCCGAATCCAAGTCCGAGTCCGAGTCCGAGTCCGAGTCTGAGGCCGAGTCCGAGTTCGAGCCTGAGAGGGTGAAAGCCCAAAGCGTTTGTCTCCCAGACCCTAGGGGGTTTGGTGAGCTCCAAAAGTATAGTAGGGGGAGGACTGCAGTGGAGCCAGTTTGGCCAGGAAAGGCTAGTTTGGCCCAGGAAGGCCGGACCCAGTGTTGGGTGATGAGCTGCCCACTGGGAAGTCCAAGACTAGAGTGAACACGAACCGACAAGCGGGGTAGCTTGGTGAAGTGTTCAAGAGCCGGCTCTAGTTCCCTCGGGAGATTGACTGGCCGATGCTCCCAGTCCAAGTGTGGGTGGCACTACCTACTTGGATACCTGTCGTGGCTCAACGGAACCTCGCTCTAAGCCCATGGCTAGAGCACCTAAAGGTGAAAGGCGGGGAGAGTACCCATGAGGCCTGTATAGGGCTACGGTGTTCCGAAATGTTGTCCCAAAAGCCCAGACTGTGGAGAGGAGGAGGAGTAGTCCTCCGGTGTAGTGACCAAGGATACAGTCGAGTGGTGAGGAAGTCCCAGAGGACTGTGGGACTTAGTGGTCGGGCCTGTGGGCCTCGATCCAGTGGCAGTGTTGGCAAACACGGCCATGGGCAAAAAGGGACTTGGTGAAGACCGGAAAAGGGATATTAGGGAAGGCTATTCCCCATGTCTGTGGGCATCCTAAGGATGCTAAGGAGTGGATCTAGAATGATCACTTATGGACGGATGGCCCAGCCCTTGAGAGATGGGGCTGTGATGCAGGTGGTGTTAGACTAGCGGTGTGACCAAGGTAAAGGGGCATGGCCTTAGCGTAATGGGCTGATATGTCGGTGGTACCTTGGGGTGTCGGTCAGGGGATTGGACACGTGGAGCACTTGGATCAAGTGCAAAGGTTGAGTGGCGGGGATGCCATTTTCGGGGCTAGCAAGCCCAAGTCTAAAATAGGACTTATGGAGGTTGTGAGTGAGACTCCTCCAAGTGGTTGGAGGTGTGGTTAAGTGACTAAAGTAGAATGGAAAATTTAGTTGCTTACAATTTGGTATTGGAGCTGTTCCTTAGTCTGAATTTTATTGGTGCTCAAGTATATCACCATTGATGTTGGCATCGGAAGGTCCTAGGAGTGGGCCTATCCTGGAGGAGTAGCATGTCGAGAGGACATGGCTCTCCACTCAAGTTCATGCGTGAACTTGGGCACAATGTGGTGAATAGAAAAGGGCCAATAATGGAACGACTTTGGGATCTTGGGAACAGTATAAGGTCTCCTCAGAGAGCTGAGGATGTGATCCAGATGAGCGTTTGACGCAGCAAACGGGCTAACGTAGTTGTGATAAACAACTATAGTTGGGATCACGGGAAAGATGTAGACTCTAAAACAATAAAGGAGTCACAAGATTATCCTCATATAGTTGAGGTTGGTGCTCATGAATGTGAGACCAGAGGTAATGACCGTGGGAGGTCAAATACGGAAGAGGACTCAAGTCCTTGAAATGGTAGCCGGGGCTACCTTTAATAAATGCTGGAACAACCCAAGGAGTTGGGGGGTGTACTTAGAGATGAGTTGGTATTCTCATCACATGGACAAGTAGTTATAAGGGGCAAAGGTTGCTCCAGAGAAGAAAATCAAGTGTCAGAGTAACACTTGTGAAAATAGTCCTTCTGAGTAGGACAGGAATGCAAGAAGTGTATTCCAGTGAGCTAGTGCCTCACAAGTAGGACCTTATAGGTCTGTGGATTAACCAAGTCCAAAACTGCTGAATGACTCAAGTAGAGTCAAGGGATGGTCTTAAAAGGACTGATGAAAGCATTTGGACTGAGGTGTGTTGTACCCCACAAAGGATTGGGGGTGGATTATAGGATCCAAGGATGAGAACAGAGGGTATCTCATTGATGGCAAAATGTGCCATGCTAAAGTCGTGGGAAAGGTGTTCCCAAAAAAAAAACAACTTTGACACAAAGTTGTGTGTGACCTCTATAGTGCAGTGCTAACGGATAGTTGGCATGAGAAAGAGTGGTATTGGTCTTGGCAAAGACTTAGACACAAGGAAAAAGTGTCATAGAGGTAGGTTCGTGGAGCTGATGGTGTGGTGACACCAAATGTGCCAAAGTGTGATACCTTGAGGCTATGTTGGTGGGTTCATGAGAACCCCTTGCCAAAGGAATCCCAATAGAAATGGGAATGGCATGGCCTAAGCTGGAAGGCATGCGGTTGGAGTGTGGTGACCTAAATAATGATGGAGGTGTGGAAGCACCAGCAATGAGTTGTAGGACTTGACAATTACGAGGCAACTAAGCAAGAGGTGCAAAATAATTGGTTAAACGGGTAGAAGGTAGCTACCCAAGCCTTCTTAATGGCATAGGGAAGTGGATATACCCTTACAGGGGATAAGTTGCTTATGTTGCGATATAATAAGTCAATGTCATAAAAGGAAATACTCATTGTCAAGGAAGCCGTCATTGGGACACTCGAACACTTTAGAACACCAGGAGGTGGTGTTTGATGTCGCGAGGGCAGTAGATAAGGCCCAAGGGACTAAGTCCCTAGCGAATGATGGATAGTAGGTGCTATCCAAATGTCCAAAGTGGCAGAGACAGAAGAAGACTGTCTACTCGAATTGGACAAAGCCAAAAATGGAATTTTGGCAAGGCTAGCAATGGGCATGCAAAAGCCCGTAAGCAACAACGTAATCCTGGTGTGTGGGATTATAGGGTGAGCATACCTGGATTGAGGAACCACTCCTTAGGCTATCGGGTAGGTTCATCCCTAAGAATACTTGCTAAGGCATGATAGAAAGTGCAAAGCTATCCTCTTGGTCTGGAGGAGAATGACCGAAGGAAATGTGTGAAGCCAAAAGCAAGAAGTAAAGGGATAGAACCGAACCATAGGAATCGAAGGGTATAACCAAGGTTGGTTATGCCAGCTGGGAGTGGAGAATCAAGTGGGGGCTCGAGGGTGTTGCCGCTAGCAACCGTGATACCATGGAGAGTCTAAAATATGGAATTGTCCATGTTAGACTATATGGTAATTGGAAAGCTTGCAAAAAGGGAGGCCTTAGCAAGCTAAGGGACAGAGTTCTTTTAAGGTTCCCAAAAAGGATTCTAGGTAGCTTAGTACCTAGAAAGGCCAAGCATGAATGGTTCAAGGAATGCGCGAAATCAGAGTGGCGTAGCAGAAGCGTGGTCTTGAAGCTTGCCATGAGGCAAAGCTATCAAGGTTAGGGAAGTAGTTCCCGAGTGTTCAAAGAGAGGGCTTTGAACGAAAGTCGATGATCAAGGGCTTTCACGCTTGTGCAGGAACCATGTTATAGTGGTCGGAAGACTTGCCAAAGCGAGATTGGCAAGTCAGGGGAACAAATACCCTAGTTGAAGGTGATAAATTCAAAAAGGGTGGGCTATGGGGCCAAGCATGGAGGAGTCCATGCATGATCACAGGCTTGTTAAGTGAGAGGACTTGGCAGTGGGGAGGAACTAGGTTCCTAAGCTGTGATCTATAGCGCGCTTTGAGTATAAGTTGGTGCACTGGCGTGGGGAGTCACGCCAGGCATCTTGGGTGATGCCG